GGGAATAGTTGACTGATGATTATATGATCAAACAGTCTGTTTCTGCTGGTGTTTGAGTATGTGGACACTGTGTTATATGTCCAGCTCCGCTCTTTACCTATCATTCTCATTCGTCTCCGATTGTTTAGTGTGTGTGTGTGTGTGTGTGTGTGTGTGTGTGTGTGTGTGTGTGTGTGTGTGTGTGTGTGTGTGTGTGTGTGTGTGTGTGTGTGTGTGTGTTTCCTGTGTTCCGTCAGGATATGACAATCAATCACAACACATGGTACTTAATATGACGATATTTACAAAAGTATTAACAAGCGAATTCACACAGACACACACACACACACACAGACACACAGACACACACACACACACACACACACACACACACCACACACACACACACACACACACACACACACACACACACACTCACACAAAAGAGACCGGGACCAAAGAGCCAGAGCTCAACCCCCGCAAGCACAACTAGGTAAGTACACAGGTGACACACACACACACGCGCGCGCGCACACACGTCAGGGAGGTAAGGAAAGACAAGACAATTAACAGGAAAAAGCAGTAAGCCATTACGATTATACAACAGTTCGAAGAGATATGAGGATAAGGATTTAAGACGGGACGGGGGAACAGGAATGATGCTCAACCCCTGGGCGGACGGCTGGGGATTGAACGCCGACCTGCAAGAACCGAAACCGTCTCTCTACCGTCCTATCCCAAGATACACGCGCCAGGAAGTGTATATGTGGATAGAAACGAATAAATTCCACGTTTCTCTCAGTGAGAGACGAGTTTCATACCTAATATTACTCCCTTATATCCCTCACTTTTTCCTCAATAACTCTCCTCATCTCTCCTACCATTACATAACCCCCTAAATACCCCTCTCACTCTCTCTCCCCTAACCTGTTACTTAACCATCTCCCCCCCCCCTCCCTCACCCAGCACCTTCGCCCCGTCAGGTAGTACATAAAACTTCCTCTTTCACTGCACGACTGTTGTGGTGAATCATTAAGCCCGCTTGGCCATTGTCACACTAGTGATGGTCCGGCCCGAGACTGGCGACGGCCCAACCGCACCCGTAGCAGCATCAGTAGCAGTGGTGGTGGTACTTGTGATGTCAGCTGTTGTAGAATCGTAGCAGCATCAGTAGCAGTGGTGGTGGTACTCGTAGCATCGTTAATAATCTCAGCCAATCGTTGTGGTAGAGGTAGGATCTGGCTCGTCGTATCTGCTCTCGTGTTCAGCATCTCTACACACACACACTTTCCAGTCCTCGATGGTGGAATAATTCATTTTTCCTGCCGGCTGTGTGAGTCGGAGTATGGAGCAGGGAGAGAGCCTTTAAATTTCCTTTCTAGGCCTTATCTGTCCAGATAACATCTGTAGAAGTATTAGTTACGTTACTAAGTATTCCATGCAGATATTCTCGGAACATACTGTAAGGTCTTTTAATGTGCGTGTTCCCCATACACTCTTCAACTCTATGAACTACGTGAATTGCTTAGTGTATTACTCTATGAAGTAAGTGTATTACATCTACTTCCTGTACTCATTATACTCCTTGAATTCCATGTGTTCTGAAAAATATTTTTGACACAGAACTACTCTATCTCCTCAAGCTGGATTAGAAAGAAAAACATGTATATATATATATATATATATATATATATATATAATCTATATATATATATATATATATATATATACTATCCTGAATTCCGTACGCTTTCCAGATTGTCTGGTGCCTTACACGGCATGACATCCCCGAGGTGAACTGGACAGGTACGTATGAGGGAACTGGAACGGAGACGTTGTAGAGAAAAGAGGAAATATAGATAAGTGTACTGATGTAGTACTAGGTAAACGACTTTTTTTTTTTGGTATATTATTCGTTCCTCTGTTCCCCCCCACTTTCGTAGAGGCGATTGTAGCGTCTGAGACATTCAATCAGCGTAATAACTACTTCGTTGGCTTCCGCTTCGTGTTGGGTCTGGCAGGGTCAAAGCTGATGGTCTTCGTCGTCTCGTGGTGATCGTTAGGTCAAGGAGGACTTCGCAGTCCTTCAGACTTCGCAGCTCAAACTAGTTCCCCCTGTGGTTGCTGGCGTTTCGACTTCCCGGGTTACTGCCGGGCTGACCTTTGACCTGAGCACGGCTTCCCAAGGGGGCAGAACTCTCATTTTCTAATTTTAATACCCCCTCCCCCTTTCCCTTTTCTCATCTCCAACCCCTCTGTCCCATCAATTCAACATCCCCTTCCCTTTTCCGACTCTCTCCTCCCACTTACCTTCCCTCTTCCAAGCACCTCCCCTTTTTCCCCTACTTTTGATATAGGGAAGATTTGTTATTTTACCCCTACTGAGATATATATAGTTGATATATATAACACTCGATGTAATCGCTAGGATCTAGAGGTAATTTTCACCGCTATTCATATGTTCTTCCCTTGCCACATATATGGCCTACCTTGCCACACACATGGCCTACCTTGCCATACACATGACCTACCTTGCCACACACATGGCCTAGAAAAAGCTCTCCACTTGGGCAACAGGAACGAGAACAGAGGTACTGCCTTACATCTCAAACCCCTCTCCTCGCGTATATCTTACTGAAAGATTCATGTTAAATACCTAGCAATATAAAAACTCAGTTCTTGTCACGTCTTCTCTGCACAACAGGTGACTCTTGCACAATGGTGCTAGTATTCACTTATTCTTTCCCAACCTTTGTGTCTCTTACTCATCATTGCATTCCATTCCATTCACCTGGGTTCTAGGAGATTCGAACCGTTGACCCCACGTGTGAGACCGAAGCTCTATTGCCACAGGGGATCTATCGTGTGTCGATTGCTATGGAAGCTCTATTGATGAGGAAGGAGGAATCCCTTCCATCCCCGTCTTCAAAACAATTCTCTTTACGAATGTGTAAGATAGCTGGGCTTAGCTTTCTCCTTCTCTGTGTCTACTAGACCCTTTCCTCTGTCCTCCTGAGTCCTGGATACGGTGTTCCAAACAAGTGACAGCCAAGGCAACATAATCCACTCCACACAGAAATCACAATTGCGTGATGCATCAAATGAACAATTCCACAAGGGCCGTGACGAGGATTCGAACCTGCGTTCGAGAGCATCCCAGACGCTGCCTTAATCGACTGAGCTACGACATGGTCAAAAGGAGTTGAAACCGAAGTTCTACTGAACTTACTGGATCCTGCAGCCT